GAAAGAAAGTACATTACTGTTTTATAATTAGGGCAGAAAATGCATTTCTATTATAAAATTAAGTATCCTTAATAAAACTGATTTTAAATTGAAGGACATTTTTACAACTAGTGTAAATGGGCTTATTTCCTATTTCTCTGTGCTTTGTTGAGTTTTGGCTTGTACAGTTTTGGCTTGCACAAGGTGGGAATAAATACTAAGTATTTATACTAAATAAAAACGGTGGCAATTTATATTTATTCACAAAAAGTCTAATGACATAAGAAGGAAGGCAGAGAGAAGACATAGCAGAAATGATGTTCCAAATGCTGTAAACTATAAATGAAGATGAAGTCCTCAAAGTGTTTTTTAGATTGGACACACTAGTAAAATCCTACCAACTATGCCATTCAGATTCCCTTTTACCCTCCTTATCTAACAATAAACAAACAAACTCACTTTGGGGAAATAGACTTGAAGTAGTTCGCTGCTCAGTTAATACATTTTCCTGTAGTTGTGCATATGTGGTTATGTAGTTAACTAATATCGAGCAAGGAGATGGAGGGAGGGATATGTCCCATTTCCCTGCTTTACTTTGGCATTGCTTTAATGGGGCGTTTGCATAATGCAGGAAATCAGAGCTTGCTGAAACTAAGCAGCAAAATTACCTCTATGGTTTCATGACTGTACCCAGTGTATTTCTTTTTTTTATAGAATTTGTTTTCCTTTTATCTCACTCTGTATTTCTGTGTCTCTCTGTAGTCCTTTTTACTGAATCCTTCTCTCTGGTTTTCAATGGGTTTTTTCCTCAAGCCTCTTTTGAGTAAAACATGAACCATATCGTATTTCAGTTTGAACAGAAGTTTTGCAGTGTGTGAAAAGGAATAGGTCTGCTGTTAGACTGAGCCAGGACAAATCTCTACTCGCTGCACTCACAGGCAGAAAGTCCCCTGGGTTATAATAAGCCGCCTCAGTTGTCATCCAGGTCACCCCAGGCACTTATCCCAGTTTGATGGAAAGAAGGGGAGAATTGCATTGATTTACACTTAAAATTTAATGTTGAAAAAAAGCACTTTGAATTCCAGACATTTTGGGTTTCTGTGCATATGTAAAAATAAAATGATATTTTAATGCTTACTGTTTTTTTTACCGGAATTGAATTTTTGTTTTGCAGTTAAACACAAGAACATATTATTTTTGTACATAAATGTGGTTGTCTTTGTGTTGTTAACACTGATGTAGCTCAAGTATGTTATGTATAAACATAAATTTTGTCACTGTGTTTTCATTGGTACAAAAGTAAGCTATTCCTATTAAGACAGAACATTAGCATATTCTGGAGGCAAAATGTGACACAGCCAACAATAATTATACCATATGGAATGTTATAATGAAGTACCTTCTAAAATATAGGGTGAATATAAAGAGCACCAAGAGCAGCAGCCTTTCTTCATAAATCTCACTTTAAAATAATAAAACGCCACTATTCTTCCAAGGCTTCTTCCAAATAATAAATTTTAAATTTAAGCTGGACCACTGAAACAAGCAAGCCACAATCCATATTTTATTTTGTCAGTGAACTCCCTGATGGCACTGTATGATGAATTTACAATGTACAGATGTAGGACTAGGAGAGACCTCCTAAATCTTTAAACTCTGTCCTTAAAATAATGAAGGAGCACTGTTTGACAGCCGTCTATAAACACAGACACACAGTTTTGCTGTTGGTGGGCGGGTAATGAATTCCTAATAACATGCTAAATGCATAAGCTCTTCTAACCTTTATCTGTTTTGCTACAGCATCTCTTCACAGTGGGATAATGCAAAAGAATGCTCTTATCTAGATAGCAGAAAAAAGAATATTTTTAAAACACCACTGGACGCCAGCAAGGCCCACATATATTAAAGATATATATTACCATCTTTGACGTGACCTTGCCCTCTTAAATATTTCATATAACCAGCAATAGAATTTTTTTCTAAAACATTTGCCAAGAATGCTTTAAATGAAACTATCATTGGGAGTCATATACACATCTAAAAAGATTTGGGCTTCCATCCAAGAATTACATATGCCTGAAACAAATGCTTAAAAATTGTATTGCTATATATATGAACTGTGTAGAAAAAGTACGAGCCTGTACTGGTTTCCATTACCCCTGGATTTCTGGCTGCACAAGATACTTGGCTTGCCCACATCCAAACTCCATGGAGAAGGACCAACTGTAATACATCGTGTCCAGTTTACACAAGACTCGAGGTCCTGTGTCCCCTTAGAATGTTATGTGTGGAAGTACAGGCTTCCGTCAGTGTTTGTTAACAAGGCGGCTGGGTTTGGGTCTGTGGAGAATAACTTCTCGCCTGATGGGGGTGTTTCATGCAAGCCATGGCTCTGTGGAGTATGGCTGTTAGGGGACAGTATTATCAATCAGGATAAAGATAAGTCGGATTCCCTCAAGCTCTCAAACGACCTACTGATTACTTGAAACTCATGTGGAACCACCAGTGATCTGATAGGAAAATATTTTACAGACAGTACTCCTCACTATTGGTTTTTTTTTTTACTCACATGCTCTGATTCATTTTTGTCTTCTAGCTTCCAAGGTAGCCATGAATTTTTTTTCCTTATGTGTTATCCTTACCAGTCAAGCTGGCATCAAAGTTAAGTCTTGGTCACTGGTGTCTGGAAGCTGCCATCCAACACTTGAGATTAGGTGGTAGTATAGAGAGAGCCTGAAATCTTAGCACCCGGGCCATTATGAAATCTGGAGAGCATGACTAATCTATCTTCACAGAGTACTTCTCACCCCAGATTTCCACCTGACTTTTGTTTGATGTTGCAGGGATGGCTGTCTCTCATTCATATCACCCAGTGCATATGGAAAGTTAAAACGATTCTTACCTTTGGCCCACAAAGGCTTTTATCTTCTGGAAGCCTCCTCTTAAAAAAATTATTTAAAGTATTGCATGAAAAATTAATGATAATATGATACTGCTTTGTCTTTTTACATGACCTTCTGTTCAGTTTTGTACTCAGAAATTATTTCACCTTGGTACAAATATCTCTAAGGTAAATAATTAGAATCCTGGGTCAGTAAACCTTGCCAGAGTTTCAGAATTTCCATTACATTCTTTTTTGTGAGCTTATTCAGTGACCTCAGTCATGGAAGCTGACAGTATAGAAATTGCTGTAGACAAACTTGTATGAAAGATAAATGAATTGGGTATTATCTATGTGAAAATTATACTTTGGACCATAATGGGGAAAAACTAAGCCACAGAAGGATGTCAGTGTTGAAAAAACAGAGGCAATGCATCTGCAATTCAACAGGAAATATCAGAACTGCATTTATTAATGGTAACAAAATAGTATCACTAATACAGTTAAAATTAAACCTCTGGCTTTCTGAACTGTCTCTAAAATAGTTATCCTTCAAGCATTACGTCTAGAGTGTGCAAAGCTGCACAAAAAGGCAATTTAAAGTTGACAGTGGGCCAAAGCCACCTGCATCCAAAGGTCATCACAGCTTCATTACAATAGGATTAACTAAAGCCTGCTTGAGAAGTAGTTGTTAGGGACAAAGTGGACAGTAGAATATGGGCATTCACAGAATGATCAGAGCAATGACACCGTCTAATGTCTTACTGACTGTATGGGTTTGGTCAGGAGAGCGTTGAGTGGGAGAAAGGCCCCAGCAGCACTGGCGACCGGAGTGCAGCCCTAGCTCTGATTCAAAGGGCCTCGCTCCAAGCATTTGCAGCTACATCATCGCACTACTGAGGTTAGCTCTAATGACGGGCTGAAGGAGTTATCAGACTTTTTGCATTGTTTCTGGATTTATCCAACAGTTTTCTCATTTCGGCAGAAAGGCCGATGAACTCAGTCTTGGGGCAATATCGCATGGAAACACGCACCTGCTAATCCCAGAGCAACAGCAGCATACAGAGAGGCAAATAGGTCAGGAGTCTTTCTTGGGGAACATGCGGTTCAGTTCAGACTGCACAGATGATCAAGACAAGGCTATTTATGTGAATGATCATCAGGAGACACAGAGGGGAAATACTGACAGAAAAGCTGGAATTTAAACTGAATTACTGGAAGAGAACAGGTTTGCTGAGTGTTCAGGGTCTTCTATGGAATTTGGTGAACTGCAAGGTTTTTGCAGTAGGATGGTTTTAACTGCTTCTGGTGCCTCATTTAAATATAAGGATGAAATTTCTGCAGGCTTTTTGTATAGACATGATTCTGCCTATTTAAGGTCACAGGAACGTCAGAAGAATCCCAGCTGTGACTGCTCCTGGGGATTTATTTTAGAAAATTTGCTTCCCCATTAACAATCACCAACACAGAGAAGAAGGCTGGACCTTTTATTTTTAGACTTTTATTAAGATCCTGGTGTGGAGAATAGCATCAAGTAAGAAAAACGAAAACATGCACTTGATAATATTTCCAAGCAGTTCCACTCTCACAGACCTATTGCCCCACTGCCAGGAGGTAGAGGAGCTGTTCCAATAATTCATTACTCACTCTGGCTTTTTTCTTCTTTTAGGAAAAATATTTATCCCTAAAGAAAAGCCCATAGAAACCCGTACAGAAGAGAAAGTGACCCTGGATCCAGAACTAGAAGAAGCCCTGGCCAGCGCTTCAGATACTGAGCTCTACGACCTTGCAGGTTAGATAATTTATAAGTATGATCCCCCTACATGTCCAGTTCTTCTCTCTAGACCAGGAGGCACCCAGGAGTGCCTCATGACCATCTCTCAAGTACCTGATGTTTCACTATACAGACAAGTGGCCACCCTGGGGGCCACGCATTGCCCATGAGGGCTTCAAGCATGACTCGATAGCTCCTGCACTTTAGACTGCTCTCATCTACTTATAATTGATGTGGCAGGCAAGGGGAGAAGATGAACCAGCTAACATGATTTGGGGAAAGGAAAGGTGGATGGTAGGCTGGGGTGTTTGTGTTGTAGTGGAGACTGTTGATCTTACCACATCCACATTGTAGCACACTATTGCTACCTCCTCTCAGCATTGACATCCCAAATGTCAGGATGAACTTTTTAGAGGATGCAATGGATGAAGATCCTGCATCCATGAGGAAATTTGGAATCTAACCCCTTGAATCAGAAAATTGGTTGCCAGGTGATAAGACCTGGATATCTTCACCACTTTTAATTATTTTCCTTTAATCCAGACTATAACCTCGTGTTCTAGGGTATGCACAAAGGAAATAATTTTGAAATATATTCTCTTGCATAAATGACATTTGGACCTAGGGTATAGCAAAGGCCATTCTGTAGTTCTTCAGCCACCTGTGACTTTCAAGCAGTCTGTATCATGGCTGTGTCATGTGCTTATGCTAGTAGAAGATCATGATCTGAATCCCTAATTTGGGAAGAAGCAAACCAGCCAAGGCTGGTGAGATAATGGGTCATCCTAAAAACCTGCTCAACCTAGTGTTGAGATCTTCCTACAGAACCACTGACATCTCCTGCTTCATCCACCCAGTTCAGAGCATATCCTATCCTTTCCCTGGGATCTCTGAGGTCTATGGTCTACCTTTTTGCGTCCTAGTTATGTAAAAGTTTTGGTGGGAGAATTGGAACTCTATCAACAGGTTTTTTTGTTTTCATTAGGAAAATGTAAATGAAATATTTCAGCATATTAATCTGAATTGGGGTTAGATCAACATTAAACTCAAAACTCTTGTAGCTACTATATTGTCCTATTGAAGGATGTGATCTTGCCATTATCTTCTGTAATTCTTGGCGACACCACCCATTTCTGGATGCATTAGTATTGGCTCTGACTGAAATGTGGGGTATCACAGGGTTTTAATGCAGCTGGCACTTCCCAGGAAGTCTGAAGTTCATGGAATGAAGTTCCATGTTTTGCTCAGTTCTGGTCAGTATCCAGCTATTCATGACAGAATTTGTAGGTATCGAAGTCTAATTAAAAAAAAAAAATAGCATGGCTACTGCCCAGGGTTCTGAAAATAGTCTCTAACAGCAACTAAAGTAATTTGCTTACAGAACAGAGTATTTTCTGTGAGAAAAAGCTGATGATAAAAGTAAAAATCTACATCAAGTTAATAACTTTTAATTAATGCATGATCCTATAAAGTCCAATTAGATAATTTGTGGGAGAAGTATCAGCAAACACAGCACAATTTATTCGCTGACACTATGGAACTTCATTTGCATGAAAGATAACTTTGCAGCTTCTTTCATGGAGTTTTGGTTTCTCTTGTCATTTCTCTCATAATAGTTTATATCCTCACTATCTATTTTAAAGTCCTGGAAAATATATATATTTTTTTTTTTCCTAGGCACATTAGCATCCATGTGCATCTGTAAGAAACCCCAGTGTGAATGCCCATTTAAGCAGCTAACCACACATGTACACTCAAACTCTTCTTGGATATGCCAATCAATACAACAAAGAGCAATAAGAGGTTTGGGTTGTATGTTAGGGAGTAGCACTGAAACAAGTTACCCAAAGAGATTATGGGATTTCCATCCCTGGACGTTCTCAGGATTCAGCTAGACAAAGCCACGGCTGACCTGGTTAATGTTGGCAACACTCCTGCTTGAGGGGGAGGCTGGACAAGATGACCCACAGCGGTTCCTTCCAGCTGGCATTTCTGTGATAGGCATACTGCATTGATTCACTTCTTCAAAAACCTATATTAAAAATGACTGTATCTCCAGTATTTAGACCACTAAAGACTTTCTGTACAAGCAAGCATGACTCAGAGAGTTAACATTTTGTAAAGGGTTTTTTGCTGGGGAACTAAACTAGAATTTGTAGCAGATACTTTTCTGCAGTCTTTTTTCCTGCTGTTAATGTTGTATCCTGTTGCTGGTATTTACACATTTTAGCTGTTCTTGGAGTGCACAACATGGTCAACAACCCAAAATTTGATGAAGGAGGAGCCCGCAGTAAAGATGGAAAAGGAACCGTGAGAAGTAAGCAAGCAGATTTCTCTCGTGGGCTACATGTCATCTTTAGGGACTTGTGCACCTGTAGGTTGGGTGTATTGGTCTAATTTAGTTTAATGCAACTGGGCCTTACCTTGATTGATCTAATTAATCATGAGGGAGAGGTCTTTAAAGTAAATATAATCTTAATATTCATTATCTATAATGACAACAGTACTATGCAAATAAATCATTCCTAAGGAGCTCTGTTTATTCCTAGAGAGCAATATCTGGCTCTGCAGAGGTGGTTGAGAGGATGGGAGTATTTAAGAAGCCAAGACAGATACATTTTTATTCCACTTCAGTTTAGGCAGTGGACAGAAAACATAGGGAGCTGTAGCTAAGAGGTGGCCGCATCCCAGGCCAGGCCATCTTGCCTCAAGTACCTACACTTACGCAACTGAAGAACGACTTGTAGCTTGTAACGGGGCTCAAATGGGGCAGAATCCCTGGCAGTCACATCTCTGACCAGAGTCACATCAAGCTGCGTTCACAGGGAGGGAAAGACCATGTGGATGTGCTCCTGCCCAGGCTACTCTCTCTGATCTACTACCTCCACGTTAGTCCTGTGGCAGCATGTTTAAACACTGGCTTTTATACAGCCCCTTAGGTACATGGGAAGTGCAGTCGTTCAGGAAATCCCCCAGCAGAAACAGCTGTAGTTACTAAAAACAAATCCAGAAATATTTGCACTAAATAAACAGACCTTTGGTGAATCAGATCTTAGCTCAACAACCAACAGGAGGCTGGATGGGGGGAGAAATGGGTACGTCTGAATTCCAAGTTTTTCTTGAGAGCTGCCAAGCCTCGATCCAGAGCTCATCACCTCCAAGCTCTGGGATACCAAATGGGCTAAACTTTGCTTTTTAAGACAAAGTTGAGGAATGCTCTTTTCTAGGGAAGCAGTACTAAAAAAATGTTTTCTTCTTGTAAGGCCATGAGAACAGCAGCTATCTTTACCAAGGACTTTTATTTCCATCCTTCTTTACTAAAGGGGAGGTGGGAAAGTAGACAGGACACTGTGTCACTTCATTTTTCTCAGGATTAAGACGGCTCTGCAAACCTCCCCAGTGGGGCCCTGTGCAAGCTGCCATCTATCTCATAACAGGCAACTGCCTGCATTACTAATCCACATAGATTTCAGATTATTTTTATTGTACTGAGTCAAAATGTCAGCTATGTGAGTAAGCTAAACTATGCTCCCATCACAGACTTAGGAACCAGAAAATCACCATCACATCACTTTATTCTTTGGTCCAAAAGCAATACCTTTCCTTAACCCAGTGAAATGCTTCAGCAGAAGTGGGAGACATCTCAGAAGTTGCCCATCATTGTGGCAAAACAGCACCATTATTAAAGAAACAAGATAAAACTTAGAGGAAGCAACAAAGAGTAGAAAGTGAAAAACACTGCTCACTCTAGACTGGGTATACTGTGATGTCTAACCTGAGGACAGGGTGCAAGTCTCTCCCCAGCTCGGCAGGGTGTTGCCACAAGCACAAAAAATGCTTTGCTGTTTTTTGTTTACTTCCCATCCTTGCCTTCAAGACAGGGTGAATTCTCTATATGCATTTTACCAGTAGTTTTCATTTTCCTACTCCCTTGGAAGGCTGGAGTGTTATTCAGTCATGTGACATCTCTCAGGGAATTGGAAAAAAAAAAAAGTTCAGGGTAAAAGGGAGCAGAGTGACACCCAGCTCAAGGTTCGTGTATGACTTCATCTCTACTAAGAGTATGAGTTCTAAAAAATGTTTTTCTTCTGGCCCATGATATGGCATGAACTTTGCCCATTGCACTGAACAGAAATGCGTAGTACACTAAGACTTGAGCACAAGTCTTCAAAATAACTCACTGTCTGCAACATCAAATAAAAGGGTTTAAACATACTTGTGGTCAGTAACGTATTCCTTTCCTGCCTCTAGTGGCTTGGGTGGTCAGGGCTTATAAATTAATCTCCAAAACTATACGCGTGGGAATTAGAAATATTAATTGTGTTCCACACTATGATTTTTATGCTTCTCTAAGAATATTTATAGCTCATAGCTGCCAGCATTAAAAACTGTATCTCTTCAGAGCACGAATACTCAAAAACTTCATAAATCTTGGTGCTGGCAGACAGACTTGCTTTTCATGCTTTGATAGCTTTATTACTTAGAAAATGCAGATGTTGCAAATTCACAAGAGCTAATTGAATTTATAGTGAGGCTGATAGCATCAGCCTAAAGAAGGAAACTGAGGGGCCTCCTGATCATGCTCCTTTATGTTCGCAAAGTCTATACGTAGGTGCAGGGACATTTTCTCACTAACGTAAGGGGCAAGTTCTGAGCACACCTTCCTTTACAGGTGTTAGACAAAGAACAAAGCAGCCCTTGCAGTATATTACATCCTATACAGTGGTCTTTAAAGCTGCTTTGGCTCAAATTAATTGTACTGGGACTTCTGCACATAAAGGAGGAATTTGCTTGTGAGGATACTGCCCAGTCGCTGTGACCACAGCCACCAGTGACATGCTTCTGGGTGCACAGAAGACGCAAAGGGCACGGGAGGGATAATGGGGCTAATTCTCCTATTTCCAAGTTCTATGGTTCATATAAAGCCTTTCTTGAATGCTACAGTACAAACCTAAATGGGAATCGAAAAGCCAGGCTGTTACTGATGATGCCTGTTCCTCACATCAACATTTCATGAGATCTTGTGTTGCAGATGTGGTGAAAGGTGAAAAGGTCAAGCCCATCTTTGAGGAGCCGCCTAATCCGACCAACGTGGAAGCAAGTTTACAGAGGATAAAAGCAAACGATCCTAGTCTCACAGAAATTAATCTCAACAACATAAAGGTAGATGCTGTGGTTTCATTTATGTCATCACAGGAGGGTTTATTCAAATATTTCCAAAGCCCTTGCCTTTTATCTTCAAATTTTGTCTCTCTATGGTTCAGGAAAAGCAGGACACACAGGGAAGGGGTGTGGAGGGAACTGTTGTAGAGGCTCCAAGATTGTCAATGCCTGATATTGAATTAGATGTCAGTTAAAAGCCCAAGGGGTGACTCCCTCTGGCTGCCTCTCTTTAGCAGATTGTAAAGCAAGATATCTCATGGGCACTATATAATCATCAGTGGCCAAATTCAATTAGCCCACACATGCAAATGGAGGAGGGGCTGGCATGCGAAGACTGAACAACCAGCAGCAAAATAGGAAAATAGTTCAGAGATTGGTCACGTGCTGGTGTTGGCCTGACCCAGTTAAACGCTGTGCTGACATCGCATCCTAGCGCAGGCCTCCACGGGTTTCTGAAAGCCACTATAAGCAGAAGATGCTTTGAACATTCTGACATACTCTTAAAAGCATCGGGAATGTTTAAATTGCATAGACTGTGGCTATTAGTCAGTTTAATAATAATTAAAATCACTGTCTAGCGATGTGACTGGCACTCCTAACTACTGGATTTATCTTCTTAATGCAGAATATTCCTATTCCAACACTGAAAGAATTTGCAAAAGCTTTGGAAAGCAACACACATGTGAAGACATTCAGCCTTGCAGCTACTCGAAGCAATGACCCTGTAGCTATTGTAAGTTTAAACACTCTTTGGAAAAAAATCACAACAATTTTAAAGTAGGTCTATATCTGCTCTAGGATGCAGTCTTCATTTTTCCTTGCAGAATTTCCCTGTAACTATGCAAAGCAGAAGTGTAATCTCTTCTGATCTACCTCTGTGTTCTTCTAAGCCTATTTGTGTTTTATTTCTTTGTAGGCACTAAGCCGCATTTTGCAGATTCTCTGTTATTCCCTGAAATTCTCAAGATGGTATCTCATATTCCCTCTTTCTTACCCCTCAGGCATTTGCAGATATGTTGAAAGTGAACAAAACACTGAAGAGTCTGAATGTAGAATCCAACTTCATCACTGGGACGGGTATTTTGGCACTAATTGATGCACTGAAAGAGAATGAATCCCTGACAGAGATTAAAATTGACAACCAGGTAAAGAGAGAGCGATGAGTGAGTCCACTTTTATTTCCCTTCTATATGGATTCCCAGAGGGTTCTCCTAGAGGGCTCTGGCAAATTCAAGGCAGCCTGTGTGGCTCAGTCATTCTGCAGCTCACATCCCATCCCCATGCAACCAAACAGTGGAAAACTTCTAAATAAAACTGGTCAAAGCCAAATATAAAACCCAGAGCAAGATCTCTAGGGACAGGATTCTCTTTGTAGTTTGCAGCACAGTACTGAAATATAACTACTTATTTCTCTCTCATATGAACACAAATATTTTCTTTTCTTTTGGGGACATTTCACCTCATCACCAACAGAGGCAGCAGCTGGGGACAGCTGTAGAGATGGAGATTGCCAAGATGCTGGAGGAGAACTCCAAGATTCTCAAGTTTGGATACCAGTTCACAAAGCAAGGTCCAAGAACCAGGGTAGCAGCAGCTATCACTAAAAACAATGATCTGGGTAAGATGCTACTAAATCTACTCTTTTGTTTATGTGAGCCAAGCCCTGACCTTCCTAGGCACAACCCTTCCCACCTGTACATAAGATTGAATTTTAACTCTACAACATTCAATCTGCTATATGTAAGGGGTGATGCATAGCTTCACGGACTCCAGAGTAGACAACAGCAAAGATCTTACTGTGATTAGGAACCACTACTTGTCTCCTTCTCCCATGTGCTCTGGGAAGGGGAGTTACTTCAGCCTTTTCCATGGGAGCACCCTGGATTTCCACCTGCCCTGTCAGCTGTTCTGGCCAGTAAGTAGAGAGCCAAACCCATCCAGTCCGTTCAGTGAACACTGAAGTCCTTGCTGCTTTGCCCTGCCCGTGACAGACCAAGCCTGCCTAACCAAAGGCACAAAAAAGACTTTCCCGCCTGCATGACCAAGTACAGGCAAAGACAATAAAGCTTTGCAAGTTTTACCTGAGCGTGACACGCTCTACCCTGTGTGCTCAATACACACATTAGGGAGGAGATGACTAGGCAGGAGTAGTTTATTTTGGTGGTGGGTTTTTTTTATTATTCTTACTGTAAACTCTGCATTATTAATCAATTCTACTTCAAAGTGGGGTGTCAAACCTGATGCCTTTTCTGGCTTCAGCTTGGGTTTCTCTCTGTGAGAACTAAGATAAAAGTGGAGCTAGAACCTACTTCTTTCATGCACACTTTTAGGTTTTTTTTCAGTTTTAGTTTTTAGCAGTACCTAAGTATTTCCATGATATACTATTGTTCCTGAAACTATTAGTGTCCCAGAATGGTATTTAAAACATCCACCAAAGAGAGACTTTTTTTCCCCCACTATTTAACCAATTGCCATTAGACATAGAACCTGTACCTAATCTTAATTTTGCTGTTTTCGTATTGTATGGCTTTGTTCCAGATTTAGTAGGGCAGAATACCTAAAATAAAACAAATGAAGCAACAAAACACTGAAAGCAGACACAAATGACTGATGCTATGCTGCAGGCTTTGGAATAATGCAGTTTGCCAAGAAAGCACTATGAAATAAACCTCCTGATAGCAAAGTAATAGGATGTTTGTAGTAATATATTGTTATCATTGACTTTCTGTAGCAACAAGCATTCATTCATCCAGTTTTACTGCTTTTGTTCTGTACTTCAGCAGTTCAGTATCAGAAACAGGACGTGACAGTTTGATGTAACACCAAATTTTGTATCACACGAACAGAACCTCACTAATCCTATCTGGCAAAGTCAGAGAAGACTCAATACATTTTTATTATGGTATGGTGTAGCAAATGCCTGCCCAACTAGACCTGGTCTATACCAGTTTTAATGTATCCTGAGTGCTGTAAATATTCACATGGGACTGCTTGTCTAATCTTGCCCACAACACAAAGGTCATCACTCTCTGCTTTGCTAAATGGCAACTTCAACTTACTTTGTTTCTAGTGAGAATCCAGAATTAATTAACATAGTATCTGATGGCTGATGTGATCAGAGCATGTGAAGTTTAAACAGGTACTGAAAGGTCCAATACGATGTTTTTTCCTTGTTGCCAGTACTCACTGCTATCAGTACTTAGGAGTACTTCAAATAATTTTCTAAGAGGACATGGTTGTTTCTTACCAAAGACACTTGTTCAATTAGAGAAGTTATTAATTTTTGATGCCTAATGCTTAAATAATCCAGAGCACTGCCATGCAGACTACAGCAGACCAGCATCAACTTAGTTGGAACAGAGTGGCTTTTAAAGAACAATAAAACTAACAAAAATCTAAATTGAGCCATTGGGAGGAGGCATTGGAAGTGGTGAATTCTCCATCATATAAAAGCTTTAGCTCAGAATATGATTTTTATATAAAATATATTGATAAAAATATTTGGCGAAATTCTACAGTCTGTGATACAGAAAAGTACAGTTTAGATGATACAATTATTTTGTTTAGCATTAAGATCTGTTAATTACAGTGCTTATGGACATAATCCTGCTGAGATTTTTAGAAGCTCCTTCCTTCTTATTCGTGTTACTGAGAAGGGAGTGTGTCAGTGAGAAGAGTCCTTAGGTTCTCAGGGAAGCCGTACTGACTGCTCTTTTCTTGTTTTATTGGTCTAGTTCGTAAAAAGCGGGTGGAAGGAGAGCGGCAGTAGCCATGCCACAGAGGATGCCAGGCAAGATTGGAGGCTGCCAACAACTGCAATCTCAGAGTGTTCACTGGTCAGAAGGGAAGGCACTGGAAAACCATTACAATGGGAGTTACTCATTTCTGTTAATGTCTCCTTTTAACCTTGAAAATGCAGCCTGTTCATTTTTCACAGTTAATTTAATTTTTATCAGAAAGATTCACAGTGGGTTTGATTTTAATGGAAAAAAATGTTTTGCGGTATCTGAAGCCAATACACAGAATCTTAACTGTGTTACTGAATATGACATAGTGACACTGACCCTTATTTTAGACAGTTTTTGATATGTTAAAATATGAACTTGTGTATGGATAAAGGGATTCTCTGCTGAAAATAGAAATTTTAGGGCCAAGTCCTGCAATGCCTTATGTTTGTGAATAATCCTTACTTATATGTGTATAGTGCTGCCGAATTGAATCCTGCAATGGGATGCTCCCAGGGGTAGAACTAGTAAGGCCAGTACAGGTTTGCAGGATCACACCCTTGAGCCTCTCTCCTGCAGCTGGAACCATGCTGGAACAGCACCCTTCTACCTTCTCGGGTCTCTGCCTGTCCAGGTCCAGGTGCAGGATCACGCCTAGATGTACAAACATTGTCAAAGCCTACTTGTTTACATAAGCTTCCGTTAGGTGGATCATTTCACAATGTTACACTGATATTTGTTATCCTTACTCCATGTTGTAAAGTAATATTAGTGCTGCCAATCCTATAGACTTCGAATGTTTTGGGTTTTCTTCTAGGCCAACATGTTTTTATTTGCTACTAGAATCCACAGTTTACAGCTATTAATCTTAATCTAAGCAAGTATTCTGAGCAATATTTGTTTTGTATTGAGACATGTGTTTGACTTTTTTAGTTCTGGTATTTATGTGCATTTGTTAGTATTATAGAACTGTTCTCAGGACCTTTTAGATGAAGATTAATTAAATAGTTAATCCAGGAGAGCAGCTGTGCTACCAGGAAAAAACATTAAGAGTAGTTGTACCAACTACATAACTTAGGCTCCAGTTCAGGTTTGTTCGTGTATCACAAGGCACTTAGGTATTCGCATCAGTGCTTAGCTGAATAAGGGCAGATTTAAGCATATGCACAAATGCTTTGCTAAATCAGGGCCTTAAGTCAAAAGCTGTATGTAATCTTAACCCAGTGGAAAACACTTGTGAAGCAGCAGCTAATCCCAGTGCTCAACAACATCAAAGTTTTAGTAAGAATTCAGTCTGATGTTTCATTTTGTGTATTTTTACAGTCTAAAACTATTCTCTACTGCTGTTTTATCACTGCCAACAGATGCCTCTGACTAGCAGCCAGAGGTTCATTTTGGTTACACGTATGCGTGCTGTAAGAGCTATGGGAGACTGGTTAGGTGCATCACACATACCGATGCTTCCGAAAAAGCTGCAGAAATGCACCTGGGGCTAGCCCTGCTACTTGGGAAACACTAGCCTCTCCTCTGAGAGCTCCCTGGGGACAAGAGGGCTGAAGCACTGCCACCTTCACCCAGGTAAAGGTCATGGTCACCACAGTGTAGCCCTGACCTGGGGGGAGAGCTGTGAGCCACTGGGCATCCAGGGATTAGAAACCCGGGGGGGCCCCAGGAGCAGTCGGTACATGTTTGTCATAGTCCCCTGAGTGACGTTTTCATGACCAGAGCTGGAGTGCAAGCTAACAGCATGAACCCTCCCTCTGTGCCTTCTATAATGGAAATGCGTAGGTCCAAGAATAACGTGCGCTTAAATCCCACTTAAAATAGTTTGCTGAAGTGGTCCGCTGAGCTGGGTCTAAAGTGCAGCATCCGCAGTTTACTTCCCTAGAGAGCTCCAAGTCTTTACAATTTCCACCTTTCCTTCCCTTCCTCAGAATCAGGCTGAAACCTTATGAAAAAAAAATGTGACACACAGGGGAGCCTTGCTGAGATTTTCCCTAGATCCATGCAAAATTTCCTGTGAAAAACTTTGATATCCCATTAAAAAAAAAAAAGAAGACAAGTTCTCTAACACAGTAATAACTCTGCATGGGCTTAAATAAACAGTCCTTAAAAAGCATGTGGATTACCAGGAGGATACTGGGCTTTGCAGCATCAAGTCTCATGGGTAGGAAGAATCTTCATCCCCAAAACCAAAAGATTGTTGTTGCTGACAAACTTCAGTGATTAGAATCATAGAATAGTTTGGGTTGAAAGATCACACTGCCCCTATTTTCTTCTTCTTTTCCTTTGATCCAACCAAGGGAATCCCTACTATCAATCTTTTTTTTTAATGCATTTTGAAGATTTTTTTTTAATTGGTTACTTTTTTGTTAAGGGTGGTATGTACATGTGTTTAAGGGAAATAAGTGCAATCCATTTTCAGTCTTAATTGCCACTTAAAGTGTTGGTATTTGCATGCAGCAGTTTTACAAGGATGGATTGGTCTGGCTGCTTCATGATGTCTGCAGCATGTCATCCTATATAGCTTTGCTCAGAGCCACACAAGTGGTTATATAGTCAGGTGGCTCCATCCACGTCAGCTACAGTTTGCATCATGGACCAAGGTACCTGGCTGGGGAAGGCCCTGCGGGCTCTTCATCCCTTCACCTGCCACGCTTTTGGCGCAGGCATGCTTCTGAAGGGAGGGTTCCTCAGGCACTCGAGGGTATCATCTCAAACACCAGCCCCACCATGCAGACAGCGCCTGAAGCTGTGCTCCCCATGGCGGGGACCTGGAAGGTCTGGCTCCTTTCAGCTTGCATGAGGAGAACTAATACCTGGCCATTTTCTCCAGGCAGCTGCTGCCAGCCCCTGCTGGGGGGCTCGGTGACCAGGGACATCTCAGTCCTGCCTCTTTTCTGTGTGCTCCACACAAGGGCTTCGTTGGCACCTGGCCTTGAGCATCACAAATCAAACACTGCAACAATATAAAGATCTCTTCAAAACAACAACAGCACACAGTGGTGATGCTTGGAGGCAGATTTTCGTATTAATATAGGATTATTTAGCTGGTTAAAAGTCTCTGCAACTAACATGAAGGGGGTCAGGATGTGACTAGTTATTTTAAATTCTACTTTCAAGCAGCATCTGACATACTCAATGCTGAATGGGGAACAGGGACAGAAGAGTCCTTTTTTCTTAAGCAAACTTTCAGGATTAACGTCTATTTTTGTACATTGCTTCTTGTGTTGACAGCTTCAGTTTGATTTGCATTTTTTATACAGTTTTTTCATGGAAAAGCTCAACTTTGTGTGTGTCCTAACATATATGTGAATCGTAGCGTGCACTAAGGACTGTATGTGTACATGTATAACTCTAGATGAAGATGTTATCTCTGGAACAAAAGTAATTGCATGTGCACAGTGTGGTGCATATTACTAAAGAGGAAGGGAATTACCACGCTATGTAACAGTGACTCCCCAGCATTGTGGCTTTTCTAAATAAATATTCATAAAGGATTTGGCTTTTGCAATTTCTTACAGTTTTGTGCCTTGAATCAAGCCTCCCTTGATGCTCTGAGATCAGGTTAAGCAGCTTTCTCAACTGTGGCTCTTGCAGCTTTCACTTGTCTGGATTATCTTCCAGGTTTTACCTTCTCTTCCCCCCACATTACATGCACTGGGCTGAAGCTTTGTGAAAGATGGTTGAGTGCTCAGAACCAAGATTGGGAGCAGAGAAACCTGGATTCTCCTCCCAAGTTTAACAGACCTCCCAGATCTAAAGCAAGTTCATCATACCCGTCCATACCTTGGCTTGCACGCTCTAACATCAACCTAATGCTTCCCTGCCTCCCAACTCAGTGAAAGCTTGTGAAACTCTGAGCTGCTTAGAGGAAGATGCAGCAAGAGATGCACTTTTCTCCAAAGGAAATAAATGGGAAACGAGAAACTCCCATTTTCAGAGTGTGACACTACCCGAGATCCTTTGGATCAGATTTCTGTGCTGCATCTAGACATCTAAAGCTGCACATGAAAACCCATGGTATTTTCAGGAGTGACTAGGTACCAGCTCTCACCACCTGTGATGTAAGTTTAGACACATAAAATACTGATTCCTGTCCTTAGACAGCTACATACATAAGAATCTGGCCCAGGTGCCCAATCCCCTTTTGGGAACTTACATGCTTTTGAAAATTATGCCCCATATCCCAAGACCAGATTGTATGACTAGCACTCTTTTTCATATATGCCATGGCTCTAAAAATAAGTACACAGTGAAAAATGAAAACAACTGAAAAGTAGGACCCTTGTTCTACAATGCTCAATATTTTCTTTAGCTCTGGTTTCAATTTTTACAGCTCTGAAATTATGTGACAAAGCAATAATAGATCTCTGCAGGCTGCTCTTCTTTTTTGAAGTAAAAATGAATGCAATTTATAAAAGGTTGCTGCCATTGGAGCAGCAGAGACTAGATTTCATGTTTTCATCACCACTAACTCCGGGAAGATAGAAGTTTCACTCTTTTGCAAAATTTAGAATCCAATTCAACTGTGTGCAGTTGTATGCATAAAATCACTATTGTCTGATCAGGATCTTGCATGCAAAACATAGCAGCAGCACTGTATCAAATCATCCCTCCTCAGCTACCTTCTACTCTGAATGCCTGGAAAATGGGCTTGCTGTGAGCGTCAGGTACAGACATGCATTATGTCCTGCCCGCTCTTCTCTGCACAGTGTCAGCAATTTTCCATACGGCACCTCATTAGAATTCGACACTGAGAACATACACTGATTTCTTCCAGGCTATGCACAGCTCTAAGCTTCAAGGGAATCAAGTGCATTGTAGAGTGCCTAAAGGCATAGACCGAGTCAGTGAAATGGTTAAGCCAACCCTTAGAACCTATGCTGTATATTAAAAAACCCTGCAAAATACAAATAACTACACATGCATAAGGACAGTTAAAAAATAAACATCAGAACATGTCCCCACAGACAATGTACTTTCTGCAATCCCAGGGAAGTTCACAGTTTAACCACAGAGAAACGAAACACCTTCCCTACCC